ATATGTCACTCGCTTCAAATGTAAGAGGTCCCGAGATCGAATCTCGGCCGATCCTTTCTTTTTTTTTTTTTAAATACTTTTCTTTTTTTTTTACTAAATGATAGTATTCAGCATGTGAAATGAAAAATTTATGAGGTTATAAAATCATCATTACAGTGTGATAAATATTCCATATAAAAAGAATCTTCTATACACATAATAAAGAATAAGCAATCAAATTTTTATATGCATATTGACATACATGTATTTTATTTGCTTCAGTATACATGTATACATTTAATAATTCTACAAATTCAGTCAGGGGGATCCGATTTTTTCCCTTAGCGGGGGACACGAATTCTCTGAATTAGCTTGTTTAATTTGTATCAGTATTAAACCTTTATGTACAAGGTCAGCCTACCCAAGTTATAAAGACACCATTGTGTTTATTGTGGGCAGTTGGCAGGGGATGTTCACTCCTCCATGGCACCTGATCCCATCTCTGATGTTTTGGAGGTCCGTGTGTGCTCTGCTCTTATTTTGTACTGTTTAATGAATTTTTGATCTTGAATACTGTTCGTTATCTCCATTTGTTTCATTCTGAAATACATGTAGATAGAACGGTACTCAAGCCTCAAAAGTCCATTAAAAATACACAATTGGAACAGAGCAAACACAGACCTTCAAAACTTCAGAGGTGGGACCAGGTGCCATGGAGCAGTGAGCATCCCCTGCCGATCGGGCACACCCGCATGATCGGGAAATGAAGGGAAAATTCGTAAGATTGCTAATAAAAACCTAACAATAAGTATAAAAAGTCTGTCAATGTTTGACTGAATGATAGATTGCATTTGCTGACAGGGTCATTTTCGACCATAGAACTTACGAAGTGATGACTAAAAACGAGACTCCTGATATTCTTGTCTCCTCAACATGTTTGTCATTAATTTATCGCATTTTAAAAATTGTTCATATGTAGAGCATGCTCTAATGACTTGCTTATCAAAACAACTGGGAGTTATAAGCCCCGTATGCAGGCGATGAAGGTATATTGCTGCATAAGTAAGGGAAAATGACGATTAAAAAGTTAAAGTTGATTGTTAGATTACCATTAACATCTTTCTCAAGTAGAATATCTATATATGAAACAGATGTGTCAGACTATGATATCTTTTGTTTCAAGCTCACTTGGATATATCGTATCGTCGTACAATGGAAATAACCATTATTAATAGAGTTAAAACATACAGGAATGTAAATAATACACATTTAAAAACTGAAATACAAGTGTATATGTTTTTTTAATGTGCCTTTAGGAATGATGAAAACCTACTGACTACAAAGTGTTAAACGGTTTATTTCTGTTATATTTGATGTATTGCCAGTTTGTTTATGTTGTCTTCTTGCGTGTTTGGAAACCAAACTATTATTCAATAACTACTTGCCAAATACCATTAAACTGAGTAAATATTGAGGATCTTTTTGCATTTTCCTTCACAAGAGATGTACATGTATCGGGACTACAAATTATGTAAATCTGTTTATGCCAAGAGGAGGTGTCTCGCAAAAATTCCGCACTGACTCTAATTATGCCATTTAGTAAATATATTATTTACAAATAATAGGTTTTATTTTCATATAAATAATTTTTATAGTTACAAATATAACGACCATCCAGTCTTTCTTGACAAATTTAATTAGACATTCATATTATGAATTTATTTTATAGCAAATCTTTAAACCCATTAAGCATCTTATTTGCATTTTTTTGAAATTCATTTTTCTGAAAAAATGCAGAAAAAAATCTTATAAGAATTAAAAGCTAATATTGGTCTTTCAATGCTGAAAGCATTAAAAGGGATGTCTGAAACCATTATGATAGTTTAAAAGGGATGCCTGATATTTCTGGTACGGCAGTCCTCCTAAAGTTTTGAAGAATAAGAATATCCATATACTAGTATCTCTTTCTATGATCGTAACAAATTAAACTAGAAGTTTTGAAGAATACGATATATCCATATACTAGTGAAATCTCTTTCTATGATCGTAACAAATTAAACAAATTAGGATAATATAAGTTGTGAACGCGACTATTCCTCCAGTTAACGCTAAATAGCGAACTGCTTTCCTTCTTCATCAAGAAAGGCTATTCCGATAAATGCAACACTGAGATGGTCAGTTCTGTCGAGATTTCAGTTAAATATAGAAATTTTCTTGCAGAAAAGAATGAATAACTTTGTGAGGATTTGGGTCAGATCACTTAATGAGACACATACTCAGTTATTTAGCGGCTGTTTCAGAAAAATTTCAAGCATTTTTCTATTTTATACCCCCCCTCCCTCGTTGTGAATTAGGATGGTATACTAGCGAGTATAGTGATCAGGATGTCCGTCCGTCTATCTGTGACGCTTTGGGACATCCATCTCTTATCCGCAGCTCATCTGTTACCACTGAATAAAATTTAATGAGACTTTCACAGAATCTTTGCTACATAGTGCCATTGTGCATCTCCTGTTTTCCTTTTTGATCCGACATATATTTCAGATTTTCCATAACAAAACATGGACATTGCCATTTTTTTCTACAATATTGAAAAGTACCCAACTCTTAACTGCAATTCCCCCTATACCACAGAATAAAATTTAATGATGCTTTCAAAGATTCCTTATAACAAAATACCGTTAAATAACTCCTGTTTTACTTTTTGATCGACGGACACTTCTTTTGGGTCTCCCAGAAAAAAAAACATGACCTTTGCCATTATAATCATAAGGGAGGCGGTGTATCATTTAATGAGCTCAGTGTTCATAGTACCTCTAGTTTTAATTCAGTATTTAATTAGATAGAATCAATTTACATAATTAGATTGAATATCAGGCATCAGCCTACATGTATAAAGGTCCTCTCCAAGCATTTTCTATTTATGAAACATATTGAGTTAATGATCAGTATTCAAGATTAAAAGTCCATTTAAATGATACAAAATAGGAGCAGAGCAAACATGGATCTCCAAAATATCGCAATTGGGATCAGGTGCCATGGATAAGTAAACATCCCCTTCCGATCGGTAACACCTGCCGTGTACTCTTTGTCATGATCGGGAAATAATAGAAAAAATCCGTCGTCAATTCAGTGTTAAATAATACTAGTAGTCTAACAATTAGTGTGAAAAACGTCAGTCAGCATTTGACTCAAGGATAAATTGTATTTGCTGACAAGGTCATTGTATCGACCATAGAACTTACGAAATGATGACTTAAACGAAACAGCTTATATTCTTGTTTCATTAACTTGTTTGTCAATAATTTACATCGTTTTAAAAATTGTTCATATGTAGAGCATGCCCTTGCGTATCGAATCAACTAAGATGTATACACTCCGTGTGCAGGTGATGAAGGTATATTGCTGCATAAGTAAGGGAAGTTGACGATAGAAAAGTTAAAGTCATCACGTTTATCTAGAGCTTGTTTAGAAATGACTATACATGTATATGATGATGCACATTTCAGACGCTGTCAATCTAAATATATTATGCACAATGGTAAATATTAAATGACTTTAAGTCGACGTTTTTACTGGTAAGATGCTTTCTAACCACATTAATTCAAACTCGAAATTTACCGTTAATTGTTTACAGAAGTCTGGGAGCGCAGTGTTTAAAATAAACTAAAATTAATTCAAGACATATTCAGCTCAATAATTATATAGATTATGTTTTGCATACAAGTTAAAGATACTTATAAACCTAGGACTTGTCTATGATCCTTGTACAGGGCACCAAATACACTATCATCTTGTGTAATAAAAAAAAATAGATGTTGATTTTCTTAACCAATAGAGTTCACCTAGGAAAAAAGAACGAAGATTAAATTCATGCAATATTTTAATCATCAACTCACTCCGAATCATTGCATAGTGATCAAAATATTGAATTAAAAATGCAGTGCAAAAATGGGTCCATTCACATTGCTCAACTAAACCGTCAAATTACTTTCAAGGGCCTAACATTGAGTTTATTGCAGACATATAGTTGATAAAAAAAAGTATACTGGAATTGAACAGGCATGTTTGGATGCGACAGATATAGACTATACTGTTTATGTCTATATTGGTTTCCTAGTAGGAGCACGTTCGCTTCCTAACAGGAAGACCGCCTACGATTCTTGTTCATCGTGCTGCTTTGAAAGCTAAAACGTAAGTATAGATAGTGGCCTGTCCTTAATGAAGTGCCCGACACTGAAAGTGATAGTCAATGGTCTTTCGGATGCGATTTCAAAACTAAGGTACTTTGTTAGGCATGCGTTGACACGATACTAGAGTAAGTAACAGTTGCTAAATGGCCCTGAGTATCGAGTAAAGGTACATGACTAAATTTGAAGCCCTTTGAGCACCCGCCGTATACGCATCTTTAGGAGTGAAATATTCTTGAATGGGACGTAAAAGCAATAAATGTAGAATAATTGGAAAACACAGTTTTAAAGAAATAAGTCCCCTTTCGCAAGAAAATTTCGAAAAAAGCATTAGAAAATGAAATAGAAAGTTGGAAAATTGTTTTGCCAATTTAGCCGCTAATTCATCTACGTAGCATATCTAAAATTCTTAAAATTAGACAACCTCCTTTCCTTTCCTTTCCTTTTTTTATTTTAAAAAAACCAACAGTTTATTTTCTTCCGGGACTTTCTTCGCCTCTGATGTTGAAGACCTTCATTATCAAATGATAAGATTGATTAGATTATTTGATTTCCTTTCCAATAACTGTTTAACTGAGATTCTTTCTTGAAAAAAAAAAAACGAGTTTTTATTTTCTTCCGGGACTTATATTAAAGACTGTCGTTATCAAATGGTCCCTATTTCTTGGACGCGTTTGCAAATTTTAACCTTGAAACATTTACAGAAATCTGACCCATATCTGTCCCTCCTCAACCACAGTTCTGAACTTCGACCCAGCATCGCAGGAAGTGGTTTGACAATTTTTTTTCACGTTATTCTGCCACTTTAAGGGGCCCTTGGAGAGGGCAGTCTCGAGTCTCGGTATATTCATACCTCACAACAACTCACTGCTGCTGAGCCCTTCCCTTGTTCGGCGATGCTGTCATGCTGATTGACTAATACATACAAATATAAACTGCCTTTGTTTACAGTGACTTGTACTTCTGTTTTAGTAGGTGTTATTTCACTCAGAGCTGCACGCATTATATAAGTATTCTTTCCATAGTAGATCTGACGGAAGAGGCTCCCCAAGGGTGATTCAACTAGGAAGGAAGGTTTAGAAACTCTTGTACGGTGACATTTTATCATGTTCTAGAATTTCAGAACCCAGGATTTAATGTTTGTTCGTCTGTACCGGTCACATTTCACGTGTTCGTAACAATCCTCGGATATTTTGCGATTGCCCTCAGATTGGCCCCTTGAGAAAGCCTTTCTGTGTTCATGTAAGAAGATGCGCCTAAAACAGACTTATCCTTGTGTCTTGTTAGTGAATCTGCACTCCTTAAAGTTACATCTTACACAGTTTCATAATGAAGAGGACTTACATATTTACTTTTGTGCTGTTTATTGAGGAGATTCTATTTGTGTTTTTATATTTTCTGCGTTTCAATGGGCCGTACAGGAGTCTCCTGATAGGTAAGACTTTACTGTGCTCATTGTAATTGTACACAGAAACATATCAAACAGAAAACTAGCCTTCATCATACGTAGACATTTTCTGTCATTCTATTTCATCAAACAGTCAAATTGTTCAATCCCTGTACATGTGCAGATAAATGAGTCAGAGAGAATTGTCGATACGAGGAAAATACGGTAAAGGCCAAAAAAAGGAACCACCCATGTAAATGGCACCTTGTTTATATGTGTAGCTCTTTATAATGGTGTTGACAAAGGGTTGTAGTGAGAAATGAATACAGATAAATACAGGCATAATAGTTATGTACTTGTATAGTCTAGTATAATTACTAGTAATTGTTTACGGTGACACATATTTCAGCTGCCGCTCCAACACAAAGACCCACTCAATTATTTTTGTTAAATGGTTCAGTCGAGGTGGAAATTCAGACTCCTTGGGATGAAAGACATGGGGAGTCAGAAGCCCCAGAGGTCACATTGGGGAGGAACCTGTTCCAGTCAAAGAAAATGTGAGAATTCTAAGTTCATTAGCAAACATAAATATACTGAGCATAGCCAAGAAATACTAGTATGTGTATGTTCTTAACACTATGTTTTAATTCGTATACATTTTAATTCAGTCATGGATATTCTACCAAACTAGAAAGCTTTAAAACTTAAAAAGATAAAGACAAAAACACTTGGACAAATATAAAAATTAAACTTGGCTTTGAGGGATTTTTAACACAAAGACTTTTGTATTGTGGTATCAATATCTTCTTATAACACAGTTTTACCCTCTGTGCATCACCATCATGGTAAAAACCATCCACCATTTTTTCCACGTTTAAAAAAGATATATTTGAAATTAAAAACTGAAACATTGTGCAACTTTTGTTTATTAAACAACATGTAATTGTATACTGTTGTATTGTATTGAAAATTTCCTTTTCACTTAAGGAATTAATCATTTTCTAAAAAGGAAAAGGTAAAATTGTGATAGAATACTGATAGCCTCACTAAAGCGTCTTTCTTCTTCTTAGAAAATAAAGTACATTATATCTTATCCGCGAAAATAGTCTTCCTTCCACTAGCTGTTCAGTAAGTTGTTTGCATTTTCACTCCGGAAATTAACAGTCAGCACTACACTCCTTGCTCTGTCGTACTGTATCAGTTTGTTTTATTCATAAAACAAGATCATATACTCACACAGGGAACATGTTTTGTAAATTACTCATTGACTTTTTTCATGTTTCAAAGAATGATATTTTTATTTGTTTCAAGTGAACTTCCGGTAACGTCAAAAAAGGTCAAAGAAGGTCATCCCAACGCCATTCAGGAGAGGTCAGCTGAAGGTATCAATGTGACGTCAATTACCGTGAATGACCCTTTAAATTGACTAAATATGTCACTGTAACTTTGATGCAACCATAAAGGTGCAAAAAGTAGAAGCAATTCAATGACTTCTGTATTCGTTGGGGGTTTAATAATTGTCTGTTTCTGTTTTGTAGATGAGTGTAAGTTTTTGAAGGAGATAGGAGATATGTCTATCAAAGGAGCACCAACATTTAGTCTGGCCATTTTGCCAGAAAACGGTGAGGATTTTTATTAATTCATTTATTTATTTTTACTTTATTGGATTATATAATATAAGTAAAGCTCACAAAAAATTAAATAGCTATTGAACAAGCATACAGACAGCGACTTAAATTTTATATTGGCTTCAAATTTTCTTTCGTGAACCTTCCCTTATTTAAATAACAAATAACAATATACCACTATCATCAGCATATGTATGGAGTTTGTGTCAGAATTTCCCAGTTGATACGCAAGAGTATGCTCTACGTACGAACAATTTTTGAATCAAGGAAAGCTATGGAGGAAAAAGTTGATGACACAAGGATATCAACAATCTCAGTTAAAGTCAATTACTTTCTTGATAATTCTATGGTCGATACAATGACCTTGTCAGCAAATTTAATCTATCAATATTAAATCGAATGACGACTGACCTTTCGACCATATTGTTAGGCCATTATTTACTAACCAAATCGTTGACGGATTTATCCCCATTTACCGAACATAACAAGGAAAACATGACAGGTGTTATCTATAGCTGGGGGATATATACTCCTTCATGGCAACTGATCCTGTCTTTGATGCTTTTGGAGACCATGTTTGCTCTGACCTACTTTGTATAGTTACAATTAACATTGGAGTTTGATTATACTGTTTTTATCTTCATATTTCAACTCAAACGTATTTTAATTCGTTAAAACTCGTATCAGTCGTTTTCGGATTAACGACATATTGACAGCCGTCTTTGTTGCTTTATTTCACAGTGATCATCATTATACAGAGTTATCCTATCAACGAATCCTTGCGGTATCTGTGTGGTATGTGTCTACTGTCATTCTTACTATATTGAATACATATAGTTATAATTCTTGGATAAAACGGTAGAATCTTTAGTAAATTCAGAAATTTTTTAGTCACTTTGTGTCTTTATCTATGAAATCTTGCAACTTTTTCTTAGAACAAAAGTTTTTGTATTAAATGGTCAGCTTGATCTTCTGTCATTTGCATTAATTCACAAGCGTTGGAATTCTCAAACTGATATGTTCATAACTATGATAAATACATTTAGATAAGGTGAATTATTGTGCAAAGACGTTTTAATGGTCAGAAAATTACTACCAAGGCTATCAACACTTACATTTGTTTCTATATATATTTCATCTGAATCTTTCGATTTTATATCATGTTATTCCATATCTTTTGTTCTGTTATTGCTGTGTTTATGTCATAGAAAGATGTGTATATACTTCGAATTATATACATGTACAGTCATGGGACATAATTATTCGCCACCTTGTATGCAAATGGCGCCGTGTTTTCGCTTACAAAACGAAAGTGGGGGTTCCGCGCTATAAATAGAAAAAAAGATTTTCCCTTCTTATAAAAGTTACCGTGTCAAACAACTAAAATAATGACGTACGTATACACATTTTTTTTTCGTCTGCTGTCAGAATAGTTAATGTAAACACCGGTGTTTAAAAATGGGTCGTTAGGGAAAAGAATTCGGTACTGAAGTAAGGGAACTGATCATAAACTCGTACAAAGTTAACAGAAATGTGTCAAATTTATCAAGTACTGTACTTTAGGAATACCCAGATCTACTGCGAGAAGTGTTATTAAGAAATTTAATAATTATCTTGATGTAAAAAATCGTCCTGGAAGACGAAGTCTTTATTCACGGATAGAGACACTAACAAGCTTTCTCGGGTTATAAAGGACTTACAAAGATATTACAGGCATAGTTAATGAAAACAGGGATCGTAAATTCTGTACAAAGACTGTGGAGAGAAACATCAGACAGTTGGGATATGTACGGAGTTTCAAAGAAGAAGGTAGAAGTTCGTGAAGTAAACAAGAAAGAACGTGTTAAATAGTTTAAGGATAGAAAAAAATTGGACAGTTCAGCAAAAATAGTGTAAATGGATATTTAGCGATTTATCAAATCGTTGTTGGGAACAACAAGAATGTTTACAGTGTATGTGTGGAGAAAAGCGGACGGGAAGGATAACCCACAGCTCGTGTGCCCTGCCCCGCGGTGCAGGCTTAGTATCATGATCTGGGGATGTGTATGTTATTAAGGTGTGGGCACATTAACTGATGTATATACTTGATGAAGTGATCAATCGATTGGCTTGCGTGATGATTTGCATAAACGCCGAAGGCGTTTATGCATAAAATTATCATGCAAGCCAATCGATTGATCATCTTCATGAAATTGAAAAATCTGACAGTTATTCCTTATATTTACATGCTTTGATTCCGCCAATCCACGTGCTCCAAGGCCTGCTTATATGTCTAGCTATTTGTTCCGCCGTGCACGTGTTTTTTTTTTGGAACCGCACCAATACATTGATGAAGAAATAAAGTACATTTACATTTGGTAATTTTATCTCGGACAAAGACATTGGAAATGTAAATATAAGGTAATATTAATGCTCAAAAATACTTACATATTATTGAAAACAATATTTTGCCAGTTATTGCGAGGCATTTCCCAAACAACGATTACGTTTTCATGGACGACAATCGGGCAAAAAGTGTTAAAGATTACGTGGTAAATAACAATGTTAATACATCAAAATGGCCAGCACAATCACCAGATTTGAACATTATAGAGAATATTTGGTTACGTGTGAAAAGAGCATTATTCATGTCGTACACTCGCAATAAGATCTGATGGCTGAAATTCAGACCGTGTGAGAAAACATTCCGATAAACTACATTAAAGACCCTTACAACTCCATTCCAGGACGAGTAAGGGAAGTTATCAAAATAAATTTGACTAAATACTGATATACTGAGGTAAGATCTTGATTTTATTGATTACAAACAGTGAAGAAACTTCATAAAGCGGACGTGCGTTTTTGTTGGCCATTTTGAAAGTGGCGAATATTTATGTTCCATGACTGTATGTACACTTGGTATAATATGTATATTTGTAAACAAATACTAGTAAAGGATCTAAACATTTAAGAAAAGTTAAGATCAAAACAAACTGGAATAGTTGTTGAAAAATTTAGTAAAATGATTTTGTTTTTTTTCTTCATTTTAGCAAATGGAACACTTTCTGCTGATCCTGCTAACTTCTCGTCCGCTGCGAAATCGTGTTCCCTTCGAAACATTACAACAGTGAATAGTGGTTACTTAAGCAATATCAGCATAGGAGAGCCTTGCTGGATACAGAACGAGACCATAGATAGAGAAGGTCTGAAACTTTCTTATTCTGGACGAACAATCTATTTCATCAATAAATCTATACGCTGGTTCACGTACTTGTTAGGGCTTAAGGTTTTAATATGTTTGAGAGGTGTCAGTTTATTGTATATGATACACGTATGAATGGATATAGAGATAACGAAGAGTATTCTACATCAAAGTCCATAAAACAATACAAAATAGGAGCAGAGCAAGCACGGATCTCCGAAACATCAGAGGTGGGATCAGGTGCCATGGAGGAGTGAGCATCCCCTGCTGACTGGTCACACCCGCCGTGTTCTCCTTGTCATGGTCGGGATATAACGGGAAAATCCGACGTCAATTCAATGTGCAAATAATGGACTAACAATTAGAATGAAAAACGGCAGTCAGCTTTTGATTTAATGCTAAATTATATTTGCTGACAAGGTCATTGTATCGACCATAGAACTTACGAAATGATTTTAAACGACACTGTTGATATTCTTGTTTCATCAACTTGCTTGTAAATAATTTACCTCTTTTTAGGACTCTATGGTATTTTTTATCTCAAGCTCACCAGAATATATCGTATCGACGTAGGGATGGAAATTAAAATTGTTAATTGATAATACGTCGCCGATATATCTAAATGTCGAGTTGAAGGCCACAGCAAGTGCTTTCTTCTTTTCACGCATAAGATTTTGCTCAAAGTCTGCTTCATATGAATACAAAAATAGGTCTGCTAATAACCGAGCGCAATTGGTACCCATGGGAATTCTAATAGATTATTAGTATTGGAAGATCTTGTCTCCAAAAACCACATTGATATTTTCAATCAGAAACTCAAGCATCTTTTTGATGTCAAATTCAGAGTATATGTACTTGTGTGTGCAATCAGAATGTGTTTAAACAAAATTATTTTGCAAATGACCAGTGGCCAGTTTACAAGTTCCATTTTTATTGAAAAAGCAGCTGTCAATGATATAAAAAAAAGCCTGGACTTTACTTAATCGTGGGGAATGGTTGTGTATAAAGTTGAAAAGTTTTTAAGCTGTTGATTTCGTTAAAATCTTGTGGTTTCAAATTGGCCAAAAGTTCTTTGGAATTTAAGAGTATCCACATCTGATTCACACCACTTCTTGAATATATTGTTGCACAGTTCTCCTGGAGTTTTTACTTCACTACTGTCAATATCGAAAGAGTCTTGGTCGAACATTTACTGGAACCCGCAATGTATCTTTGTTTGTAAGGATTCTTATGAAGTTTCGGATTCCAATATATATATATAGGGTAGTTCAAATTTATTTTGGCTCTGTGGAATATTTAAAACTGACATGATTTTGAATAATTTCTTCCTTAGAAAGGGAAGTATGAGTATAAGTAGGATACCACTTGTAGAATTAAATCCAAGTTCTTCTGAAATACAATTTATATAATGAGCCTTGCAAACGAAGACAATGTTGTTACCTGCTTTATCGGCAGGGACCAGTACGAACTGATCATGTAATAATCATCTAATTCTTTTTTTCACTTCTGGATTATTGAACACAGAAGGATATATATGGTTTTCATATTGCCCCTCAATCTTTTAATAAGCGACTCTTACATGGATCAGATATATACATTTAATCCATTCTGACAAAGTGTCAACGTCTTCTTTTTCATATCTGACCCATCGTCTGGCGTAATTTTCAACAGAATATATATTTATGAAATTGAAGGATCGGGGTTCCCTATATTTAGGACCTTTTAAAATAAGTGATCTATGGTCCTCGTTATTAAATAATAAATTTTATATGACTATATATTAAATAGGGTTCCTCTCAAAACAACGAAATTAAATGCCCACGAAACTATTTTTGATGACAAATCAACGAAATTTTATCCCCACAAAAATTTGTGCTTCTACAGTATATTTACGTCACCTGCAATAACGTGTCCTGCAGGACTATAGCTAAAGGGCGAAGATGAACATGATGGAGGATTATGTTTCAGATAGTCCATAATCACAGATCCGAGCCTATTTTCTGGTATCAAAGAATCAAAAATTGGACTTTTCTTGGCGTTTTCAAGAAGACTACTGTATTTAAAAGTTTCAAAGGAACAGAGTAAACAGTGTAAAGGAACAGAGTAAAGTTTGGTGCGAATATGATGAAGACCTAAATGTTGATTTACATAAGGTAGTAATGAATCGAAAGAGACGTTGTGTATTGCAGGTTTATTGTAAGATCGATGTCTATGACTACGCTTACGTCTCTGTGTATGGTTAAAAAGTCCCACCACATTTACATTGTTACACTTTGGACTGGAATGATTTCAACACTATCAACATTGTCATTACATCTATAGGGAAAGGCTGTCCCTAGTTTTCTACTCCAAAATTTCTTTTCGTTGTCTACGGAAAGGTGTACTGCGACGGACTATTTGTGTGGTGATAAATTTTTTCGAGAATTCTAACTTTTATTGACACAATAGAATGATCAGGTAAATTAAAAAAGTATAAAAGCTGCTGACCACCATGATTTATTTGAAATCGATGAACTGATTTTTCACTGCAAGAATGCAAGTTCAGTTTCACATAACCGTGACTATATAAATACATTTAACAGTTTTTCTCCATCCTGACATTTTTTAAAAAACGACAAAACTGTAGAATTAGTAGAATTAGTAGGCACGTTTGGCAAATAAAAATTGACTAGCTTAGGCAAATAATTTCCTTTGAACAATTATAAATGTGATCGGTCATTATGGTCCAACAATCTATAGGAATTCCCTCGGGTACCTGTTACTCCCGTTATTAGCAGAATAATTCATATGAAGCAGAATTCGATATGATATATCCTGGTGTGCTTGAGATAAAAGATACCACAGGGTCTGACACATCTGTTTCATATTTGGATACTAGTATTTTTACTGGGTAAAAACGGCAATAGTTATCTGACAGCAAGGTTTTATGATAAACATGATGACTTTAATTTTTCTATCTTCCCTTACTTATGCAGCAATATACTTTCATCACTTGCACATGTTTTTAATATATCTCAGTTGATTCGATACGCAAGAGCATGCTCTACGTATAAACAATTTATAAATGAGGTAGGTTACTGAAAGATAAATAGCTGAAACAAGACTATCAGCAGTCTCATTTAAAGTCATCATTTCATAAGTTCTTTGTTCGATACAAATAACATTGTCAGCATATACAATTTATCATTTTTCATACTAATTGTTAGACCATTATATACTCACCGAATTGTCGACGGATTTTTCCGTAATTTCCCGATCATGAAGAGGAGCACACGGCAGGTGTGACCGGTCGGCAGGAGATGCTCACTCATTCATGGCACCTGATCCCATCTCTGCTCTTTTGGGTGTCCGTGTTCGCTTGCTCCAATTTTGTATTATTTAATAGACTTTTGAGTTTGAATACTGTTTGTGTTCTCCATATATTTCATTAAGTAACTTTTTTTAAAACAACCAACCGAGTGGACAAATTAAGTCCATAGTCGGTATGATTGAAAGATAGTCGAGTACTCGATTATACGTTTACATCCCTCCTATACATATTAAGATTAGCAGCTGATTGTCCTTGAGCATGCGTTGTAATTTAATGTTTCATTTGTCCATAACACTAATCAGAATCTGGTTCTTAATTTGTAATCCTTTCTACAACCTACATTCGCATACATTCGTACAGTCCCTTTGATGGAGTATTTAAAAGGAGGTACAGTTTATTGCTTAAGATGTGATAAATCAATCATTATCAAATTAATCTTTAATATATTTTTTTTTCCAATTTAATGACGATATTACAAATTATGTGGGTTTTTTAAAAAAAATATCTTATGATTAAAACATCAATGATTTGTAAGCATAATTTAGCTTTTCAAGCAGTAACAGATATCAACTTTATACACAACCATTCCCCACGATAAATTAAAGTCCAGGCTTTTTGGTATCATTGACAGCTGCTTTTTCAATAAAAATGGAACTCGTAAATTTACTTACCTGGTAATTGGTCATTTCCAAAATTATTTTGTTAAAACATTCTGATTGCACAAACAAGTGCAAGCCAGGTATGTTACGGATTATGCGTTCCAATCAACAGAGTTACAGAATTCACTAATTATAACTACATTGTATGTAGTGAAGTACTCTGAAGTTTACATCAAAGAGACCTTGAGTTTCCGATTGACAATATCTATGTGGTTTTTGGAGACCATGCATTCCAACAATCTATTGGAATTCCCATGGGTAACATTTGCGCACCGTTATTAGCAGACATATTTTTGTATTCATCTGAAGCAGAATTTGTGCAAAATCTTATGCGTGAAAAGAAGTCAAATGCTGAATGACGTTTTTCATATTAATTGTAAGTCTATTATTTAAACACTGAAGTGACGACGGATTTTTCCGTTATTTCCCGATCCTGGCAAGGAGCACACGGCGGATTTGACCGGTCAGCAGGGGATGCTCACTCTATGGCGCCTGATCCCGTCTGATGTTTCGGAGATCCGTGTTTGCTCTGCTCCTATTTTGTATTTTTTTATGGACTTTGATATTGAATACTATTCGTTTATCTCCATATCCTTCATCAAAAAAGTAAGAGTTCAAATAAAATGTATTTCACAATAAACAACTTTTGAAACTTTTGTACTGTTGATTACATGGCCAACAGGACAGCCTGTAGTAATTTTGTCATAATTTTTTAATACGCGGTAGTTAATTCGTATTTTTCTTTTTAGAAAATGTATAGACATATAACAAAAAACTTTAAAGATATTCACTCTCCTTTATTCAAGGACTAACCGACTTATTTTTTTATTTCATGATGTGATCAATCGATTGGCTTGCGTGATAATTTGCACAAACGCGTTCATGCATAAAATTATCACGCAAGCCAATCGATTGATCATCGTCATGAAATCGAAAAATCTGAATTATTCCTTATATTTACATGGTATTGATTCCGCCAATCCACGTGCTAGAAGCCCCGCTTCTTGTCTCTATTTGTCCCGCCCCGCACGTGATTTGTTTAAAACGCGCCTATCGATGAACCAGTACATTGATGGAGAAATAAAGTGCATTAACAATTTGTAATTTTATCTCGAACAAAGACATTGGAAATGTAAATATTTTGGGATGAATGTATTTTAAAGCACAACATGATAACCTGTTCTTTATATAAATTATTCTGTTACTTGACAGTGGCACTTTTCTACAATTATGAGATGAGAACAAATGAAGGTTCATGTTATAGAATAGACCGCAACGAAAAGACAACAATGGCTGCTACAGGTGGGTGTCCATATTAAATCAAACTCCATATTGCTATAAAATATACCTCAGTATTGTCATAATATAGGACTCAATATTATCATTCGAGGGCTGTTCAATAAATAATGTCCTTGGTGCTCGAAAAGAAACAAAAAATGATTTTCAATTATGTATCCTTAATGATTTGACTTATATATTCTCTTTTAATTAAAGCACATGTTCGTAACATTTTTAACCAATTTCTGATCGTTTTTAGAACACATTTTTGAGTATGACACTTCGTATACTGGATTATGGCAAATCCTCTGATTTCCTGGACTTGCTTCTTCTTTCTAAAAGGTGTTTTTTTTTCAAGTTAAGAAAATGAAACAAGTCAAAAGATGAAAGATCTATTAATATTGTCGGTGTAACAATTCATTAACTTTCTGTTTATCTCCAAAACTCCTTTACTCTTTATGGCATATTGGTTTTGACTCTGTTAAGTTGAAATTTAATGTAGTGGATTCCTGATTCTGGTTCCATCGTCTCATAAACCTTTGGGTTTCTTTTTTTTTGCCAACATTTTCTTGCTAGACTTATTCAGAAATTGCATTGCCTTCATGAATAAGAATTTCACCAACAAGACCACTCATTTTTAGAAAAATTGCATATAAAACTATTTTTATGCTTTTGCAGTTCTTTGCTCTTCTCAGACCTTGGCTTTTTTTTTTTTTTGTCAAGTGCATCTTATTGTAAAGTTGTTTTGAGGGTTTAAATTAAAGTAATAGATTCTAGTTTCACTATCTGTTTGAATTCCAAAAAAAACTGGATACCCACAATTTTTGATTTTTTAAAATAATTGATTAGATATGCTTACACGCTGTCGTTTTCACTCAGTTTTCAAAACATAGGGTGGCCATTGAGTACTAAGCTATTTTACTGTCACATGTTTCTTTAAAACAGTGTAAACAACCCCAAAATGATGCCTATCAATTTTGCTATATGTACTAAAGGCAGTCAAACATCATCCATGTTATTTGTTGAATTTTGGCTAACGTACATAGGTTGTGGTAAGTTTTTGTCGCCAAGGACAGTACCCAATTTTAATGCCCATTAAATTAATTTTGTTCATTGAAATCCACCTGCTCATGTGTCTTTAAAGCAAACAATGATTGTTGTTAATGTCACATAATTTAGTAAATATTTCTTTGGGATTCCTAACGAGTTTAACAGCAGTTTTCATGAAGCGTTTAATTTCACTCTAGTGTACTGATTCTTTACCATTCATTTATAATGCAGTGTCTCGAATAGCATTGTTTTCCAGCTTCTCACAATGAAACTTTGTGGTGAAAAGTGGTCAAATAAACTGTAATCAATTCATTAAAGATTCATTCATGAGAGAAAGTCAAGCTTAGTGTCGTATTATTTATATTTTGTATGTCATAGAGCTCATGACATTTTTTTTATTGAAGAGCCTTCGTACAATCCGGCTAATATTGTGTCAAAAAATCAGACTTAATGTACGACTCGTTGATCTTAAGATGAAATTTTCTGACTCCATATTATCATTAAACTCAGTATAATCACTTAAATCGTATTTCTCATCATTTTTATTAAATTAAATCAATATTCTCATTAATTTATTCGTCATTAATTTATAAATCTGGCTGAAAATTTGTTTGATATTTGGAGTAAGTGGTATACCACAACTGATTATGTTTATGATTTTTTTAAGAGTTCCACTACTTGCCTTGGTTTAAATATCTTTCTCAGTTGAGTTCTTCTATTTACACGGATCCTGTCCTGCTTGTTTGTCAGTCCGTCTGTCTTTCCAACTCTTAATCTTTATCATTTTCAACTTTTTTCTCTCTAGAGACCCACTTATCCAATATCAACGGAAGAAAGCATCATTAAGTAAAGGAAATTTTAGCTTGTTCAAATTAATGATCACCTTTTCTTAAAGGGCAGGGGTTGGGGGAGGGGTTATCTAGATCAGGCAAAAGAAGGGATTTTCAAACCTTTTTAGGGCTATAAAGCCAGAAAAAATGATACTGTATTGGAAGACACAGTATAGTTTAAAGCTGTTCAATTTCTGGCCCCTGATGGCACGATAGAGTCAGAATCCTTTGAACAAAGTACCGGTAATATCGGTACATTGTATGTAAATTTTCAAGCATTCTTAGATAGTGTAGATTCAATTTTGCTCCAATCATGTCCCGGGGTAGGGTGTTGCCACGAAAGTATAAAAGTATGACCCAAAAAATCAGAATTTCATTTTTTATATATAATCAGAAAACAACTGGACAACACTTATTCATACGGTAATCATACCAATATGCAAAATATTCCTTACATAGCTGTGTGGAATTAAATTTGCAAAAGTGAGCCCAGAAATCAGGATAGAGCTAAAATCGAGGTCAAAATACCTTTAAACCATACACTCTTTTGAGGTGTGTTGGAAAACAATATATCGTCAAAATGTCATGAAAATAAATTTGGAAACTTCTTTCTTAAAACTTTTCAAAGAAGAACAATTAAACCAAAGTATATTTATCCAAAAAAAGCTAGTGAAATGCACTGGAGCACATTTCAATGGAGAATGACTTAGATGAGAGAGAGAGAGAGAGAGAGAGAGAGAGAGAGAAGAGGGAGAGTTAAATAACTCAGATCTTTTAAAAATTGCATCAAGGTTTCATTCATTTTCAGATTCGCTCCTACACAAGACAATTCGTGTCATGAAATACCAAAACTATTCGGTTCAAATCAAGTCTTGCTGTGAAAGGCCGTCTACCACTGATTCTACACCAATTGACCCGGGCACCACTCCCCAAGGTAAACTCCACCCACCTACAGTTATAACCACCACCAAATCAACAGGTAACCACACCTCTAACACAAATACAAGATTGAAAATTAAAACTAGTTATTAAGATTGTCATTTTGTTCCATTTTTTCCAGACAATTCAAGAGCAGGCTACGCCATTACAATATTGCTAATATTCATTGGTGCCATTTTCGCTGTCTTATGTCTTTTTTTCCTGTGCTGTAAAATTTGCTGCACCCCAAAACGGTTTGTTTTACTTCGTTCTGTTTCATTATCTTCAGATAACTAATTTAATAATGATGTTTAGATTTAAATATGCTCACTTTTGTGTGTATAGGCGTCCTTCGTATAAGGTGGAATACGCAGACCCTAGTGACGTCATTGCATCCAGTAGTGGAGCGGAATATTCCACGCCGTATGACACATGTAAAGCGAGAAATAGGGTAGTCAAGGTAACTACTAAAACCAAGGGAGCGGGTAAAAACAAAGTATCACTTCGTAAGAAATTAAGTCAGAGATTCAGTTCTAGACCAAGAGGGAGAAGGCGTGAAAATGATTCAGGATTTAGTGATCTTTTAGAGAGTGACGTAAGCAAAGTGTCAGGAAAGGAGGATCAAATGGAAAGTAAAGAGGCCCAATATATGGAGATTCCTTTAACAAAATTAAATGTAACAAAATCCTTAAGCAACCCGTCATATTCAAAAGTTGACAGAAAATCCAATGGCAGGGGAGATAATGACAAAAAAGAGACTGGTGTTCGATTTACTTTACCGAATAGTGGTCTCCAGGAAAGACAAAAATTAAGTTCACCCTCTCCGAGACAAGAAAGGGTAGACTCCCCTTATGAATCATTACCAGACAAAGACAAAAACAACAAAGTTTGTGAAGTGAGAAACAATGAGAAGAAAAATTTAACAGAAAATCCTTATGCTGTTCCAGAATGTGACAAAGAACGACCTATTCAATCCAAACCACCGGAAACAGATACATCACGAGACAGTCCTTACGCGGAAATAAATCACGTGTTTCCAGTTGATGGAGATGCCAAAGTGAAAAGGTTTATAAAGGCTATGGGGGAGGGGGAGAACCCTTACATGTGAAGATTCAATGCACGGTTTGGGTTTATTAAGAAAGGTCACATAGAGGATTACGGTCAGGATGAAATGGTTTACGTGATTCTACCAGAGATAAGCCAAATATACTGTTCTCAACATAATTACTGGTACGATTGGTGCAATGCTTTCAATTTTTTACGTGCCATCCTTTATTTAAATAAGAATTTATAAAGAGTACCCTTTAAGAAAAAGAAAAGTAGAAAGGAGATTATTCTTTTATCTGGATTTTATGTACATGCACAATAATATTGTATTTTTCATTTTTTATTTATTTTACAAACTGTATACTTCATTTTGCTTTTGTTTGAGGCATTAACTTGTTATTTATAAAGCATATAATTCGGTTGTTTTTAAAGTCATTTACTGTTGTGATTTATTTATGGGGTTGCTACAAGAAGGAGGATATATTGTTAACTCCGGTTACAAGTCCCAAGGAGTGTCGTGTAAATGAGCTGGCATACCCAACAAACTACAGAGGAACTCTTTAATTTTATGAAATCAAAAATTTTACATATAGGATGCATATTTTTACCCAGACAATTGCCACATATATCTTTGCATCTTTGCACAGTAACATTTAATAGAATTAAATAAGGGCACAGAAAATGGACTTTATGGATTGCATAAAAAAAAAAATCTGAATTGAAATGTTAGATAGCAAAACAAACACACAGGGTCAACTCCTCTTTTCCAGTAAGGGTGCACGCTAGGAAATTGAACGCAACCAGAAAAAAAAGTTTCCAAAAGAGGAAAAAGAGCATAAAGACGCCCAAACTTAATTTCAATGGATATAATCTTTCGTGAACTTTAGACTAAATCTAACTGTAATTATGTTAGATTCAGTACTAATACAGTCTATGAATTTTTGTGTGAGGTTTTTACTGGATGAGCTCTCGGTTGGATATCAAGAAGTTCCAGACTTTTCCCATGCCTCTCAACCAATTCAATTTACAAACCATAACAGTGCATTGGAACAAAGTTCAATTTGCCCATAGAATTAAAAAAAACATTAATCAATAACTTACTTTTATAATTGATATTTTTCTTTATGTAGGTAATTGCTTTTATCTCCTAGAACCTGCCCTGTCAGGCATTAGACTGTCTGTTTAATTTACACATGGAACAACAATATTAGCCCTGTCTAATGATAAGCTGTCAATACATTTTATACATGAAACTTCATTATTAGCCATGACTAATGTCAGACTGACAGTATATTTTGTACATGGAATCTCGATACATGTATTAGCTCTATCTAATGCCTGCACAGCCTTAATTTTCTTTCAATTATATTGTAGTTTCTTGAGTTTTGGTAACCTATTGAATGATCAATTTTACACAACTTTCTACCTTTATGACACACTTTTACAAAATTCTCCCTCTATGCCTGGCAAACATCATTCAGGTTACATGTCATGTGTTGATTTAAGTATAAATCTATAGGAAATAGAGCTAATTTCTGAAAAATATGATATCCGTAAAACGTTTGTTTGTGTTACTAGCATTTATCCTTAAGTTATAACAAAGCAACAAAAAGAATTTAAAATTTTAAACAAAAGTGATTAGAATTAACAATACAAATGTATGTTTGCAGACGAAATAGTTAATTATCGGCAGTAGGTTCTGAAGCTTGTACTCCAAAATTATCTCAATAGAAGCCAAGACAGAAATGAGTATATCATGATCGATTTCCGTAGAAATCTCTACTATAGCTACAAAACAGGTGTGTCGATCTGACCTAAGTTATCAGCCTGTCAGAATTCAGAAGATATATTTTTAGAACTTCAAATTGGTATATTTCAAACTCAGAACCTAATAATACATGAGAATGTACTATTTAGATTATCAAAATTCCTAACCATTTTTTTTATACTACATAGCAAAATTTCGTCTTTCTAAAGGCCGGTATACACGATAAGATTTGTAGAATAATAAAAGTATTACATACTTTTGTATTATAATACTTTTTTGTACTCACGCTAATATATATCTTATAAGATTGTGAATAATACGTATTCCAACGTGATTCCTCCGCTATATTTCTCTCTCTGTGAAAATAATAAAGATGGAAGATGAGGTTCTGATAGCAGTGTCGATCACTACTACCAGGTATGCACTGCTTGATATATTCCACGAGTTCTCTCACCCTTTCCCATAAAACCACGAGTTTTTCGATGGCTTTACTTGTAAAGTCTGCCATTATTATTAAGCATGTGCTCTTTTAGTAATGATATAAATAGGATGACCCCAATGGGAGTACATTGTTTGGTTGAAAGTGAAAGGTATATAAGTTAAGCCTTGTATAAAGAAATAGAGCATTGACCTATTCTTAATACAGTTTTGCAAGATTAAAAAAATTGTATGATACTCTGTATTAAGAGTGTATACACAGTAAGATTTTGCATTATGATACAAATCTTAAAAAACCAAATCTTATCGTGTATACCGGCCTTAAAGCTGAACACGATTCGTAAAAGGAATGTGTCCGCCACTTTTGTTCCCGAGTCTCGCTACTCTGCAGACCCATATATATAGGACAGGACTTAGTCACTGTTCGGTGTAATCAGTCGACACAGTCGACCCATGCTATACAGCACTCGGTAGCGAGAATAATTAACGTAATACTTCGTCTAATGCAGGAAAGTAATACACCAAATAAATTTACTATTTTAGTTGTACAGGTCAGTGCAGTATACAAACAACAGGTAAACGTAGCTGCAAAAAAATGTAAACAAAGGTAATGCAAGATAACCAGCACGAACACCCACGCCGATACCCGTGACAATAAAGCAGTAAAGTGTAACGAATGCGACGAGTATACCCTAGTGTTGATGTATCATAGATACTGATATCAAAAAATGGCGTATCCCTATTTACCAGTCGTGTTTAGCTTTAAGGTCAGACGGCACGTTCCTCAAAAATATATAATTTTTCCCAATAATTGGTCATTGAAGTCTAGGAACTAAAGCATGTCTCCTCACAAAAAATTAGGTACCTTACCAGGCATTTGGACAAGATACCACGGGTGATATTTCTTATATAACCCTTATGCGTAATCTTCTGAATGGCCTATATCATGATTTTTGGTGAACTTATATTTAAAAACATAATGAAAACAATGTAGATATCACAAGAGAATGACAATTATGCATAATTTTTTTTATATAATACCAAGAAATACAAAGCATATATTTGAGGAACGTGTCGTCTGTCCTTAAGGAATGTTTAAGATCACCTTATTTGAATTCCTGTATATCAGTGTGCGATTCAGATTCGTGCTTTTTGTTTCACCATATTCTACAAGTGGTGTCAATCAGATATGGATGCTCAAATACTCTGAGAGAACTTTCAGAAACTTCGGGCTTTTTGATATCATAGACCCGAAGTAAATTTAAATTTATACAACGTATATACAATTTTATACTTACCTGATTGCTCATACATCATATTGTCCCCCGCTGAAAGTGGGGGATATTAATTTCGGCCTGCCTGTCCGACAGTCTATATGGCTGTGTTTTGTTTGTAATACTTTCGTTTTCACGCGATATCTCGAGAAGCCCAAAACTTTGAGCTTTTGCAATGGCACCTGATCCCACCTCTGATGATTTGGAAGTCCGTGTTTGCTCTGCTCCTATTTTGTATTGTTTTATGGACATTTGATCGTGCATACAATGGGTTATCAAAAAGTTCGTGGACTGAGGTTATAAAGTTAGTACTATGTAGTCTGTGTTTTCAAAATTTATATGGAACATAAAACAACAAAAAATAAAGAAATGTTGAAAATATTTTAGCTTGATACGTTCATTATTTGCTAAATTATTATATTATACTTTCATGTAAATTACTTGAATCTGATTCGTCGAGAAACATTTGATAAAAAAACAATACTACCCGCTCAATAATGAAGCCACGCCCTCCTGCATAGCAACAGTCAACATTGCTTAACGATGGGTGGTATTCCAAAAAATAGCGACTGCGCGGAATTTATGCGCGCACGGTTCACTGTAATATGTATTTGTATAAAACACTCAGTTTTTTTCAGGGGCAAAACTTTATAGAATGTTGGAAAAGGAAACCCCTCCCTCTTTTTGACGTCATTTTCAAGCCTTAATTGTTTGGACACTCCATGTAAAATTTATTATAAAATTTCACAGAACTTCCAGAATGGGGCAAAACTTCCATATTTTATGGAACAAGAGTGTCCCAAAACATACCTGAATTAACGGGATTTTTGGATGTCAAATGTTCAAATCAAACGGGTTTTTCTCAGTTAATTTAGGTCGGAAAAACGTCGTGTTCGAGGTTGCGCCGCCTGGACATACCATTGCTTCTAAAAACATTACCAAGTTATTAAAGAATAAAATTTATGACTTGTGGTTTTTCTATAGATAGAAAAGATGATGCTTGATAGATATTTTAAAATTCATTGATGTACCTAAAGCGGAACTTTTCTATTTTTTGATTTTATGGCGCTAGTCAAAATCCACGCATGCACTGCTTTGCTTTTGATATCTTTCTTGTTTCTTGTCATAATCTTTTGAAATTTTGAACATGGTCCTACATTATGAAGATCTACAGCATGATATATTAAAAATATGTAATCTGTGGCTATATCTCCTTTGTTTTTTGACGAAATGCTTTGAAATTTCTCCGATATAAAATGTTTTATGAATTCATATTTCTATCGTTAACTTGCCTCATTTATGTTGTTATATTCTACTATCACCTGCTGCGGATGGTGTTACGTCTTCTAATTTATTCAATACTCATGAGTTTAATACTTTTGGATTAAATGCTAGAACAATTCAATTTTCAAAGCCAGGCATGCTATTTTTTTAACTGATAAGTCTAAATTCCATAAATTTATTTCTTATTTAATAGATGTTACAGGGATTTCAACAGCCTCGTTTAAATTCGGCATTTTGTAAATTTTATCGTCACTAAAACGACCTTGTCAGCTATATTGAACTATCACGGTTTTCCCCCCTTTTTTCTCTTTGCTTGTTTCACATCAATTTTTTTCTGCTTCTTTCATGACATGTTTCACGAATACCAATTGTTAGGTTTTTGTTTTAAATATTGAATTAGTCTACGGAATGTCCCATCTGCCTGATCAGTACATAGGGCACAGCGGGTGAGACCGGTCAAATGGGGATGATTATTTCTCGTACCGATAGGCACCTGATCCCATGTCTGGTATTCCCAAGGGTCCTGTTTTGTGCCACTTTGTATTATGCATTTTTCTTTAGGAAAATTAAATATTACTTTAATACAAATCAGATACTTTCAACTGTCATTACAAATAACCAGTATATTCACACTCATATCATTGTTTACTTCATCAACTAAACGAATTCGAAGGAAAATGGCTACTGATTGCCATCCGGTAGATCATTTCTCTCAGCGGTCAAGCATCGAGTTTTATGTCCCCTCGGCAAAACATTAGAAATGTTAGATTTTTTTTAGGATAGATTTGTATAGGAACAAATTTCTAAAGGTATAACAATTGCCAGTATACTATTCAATAGCGTGCATCCACCAAAGAAATATCTAAGGGAAGGAGGCTTGCCAAGTCGTTTATGCATTTATTTATTAGGGATTTGTTGCAAAGTATATAGATCCGTGGGGAAACTAACATCATCTTATTGATAACACATGCCAAGGATGTATTTTCCAAACGTTTAGGTCTGTGTCAATATTGAGTTACACCCACCATAATTTACAACTCAACAGTGAAAGTGCTCCTACGTGTACTCATTAAAAACATCTGGAGCTAGTATCCGCTAAAGAAACAAATCTTTCTCACTCCAGAGAACTCTGGTTTTGTTTTTCAAATCAGTTGATATATACAGACATATAATAACTCCATACTTTTTAAACAATGTTGTAAAATATCACAGTCTTTAATCATGCTAGCAAAATCAATAGCCTATTTGAAGTGCATGTTACTTCATTTACTTGTTAATTACAAGCAAAATCTTGTTAAAATCTAACAATGTGTGAACATTTTCTGCTTAAAGGTATATTGCACAAAAGGAGTGCAACACATGCAGATATACCAGGAGTTCACTCATTTGTGCGTGTTCGATTTTCCATTGTCTGTTTTATTGCTGGAGAAGGCCTGGGCGTTTTGATTGGGTGTGATCTCTTGGTTCCCGTATGGCTTACTTTATGTCTTCTGAGGGCGTGGATCGAACCGAACGAACACTGACAGGTTTCACATCGGTAGGGAAGCTGACCTGCACGGATAGGAAATATATTTCATATAGTTAATATCACAACCATCTGTACATTTATGCGACTCGCTTCATAAAAATTTTATGGCATATGTGATTACTTTTCTATTTTGTCGCGATAAATACTTTTATTATACTTTCATGTAAAATACTAAAATCTGATTGGTTTAGACGCAGTTAACAATCCGTTCTATTACCCTCAGCCTTAGCAACACACGTGACAACGGGTAACACAACGGTAATGTCACATGCGTGGAAATTATGCGCGTACGGTTCACCGTAGAATTCTCAAAACGTCAGTTGCGCGTTTGAAAGAACCGGAATAAACTTGACGCCAATAAAAGCTTGCGTCCGATGTAGCTTAATTGAAAACAACAAACGACAGACGAAACATGTTTGCGAGTGCAGAAATAACGAAACTTTATATGATAAAGGACTCTTAGAGAATCAAACAAACAATAAAGAGGTCAGTTAATCTTTTTCGCAGTAGCGGGGAGTTTGAAAGCTTTCTTAACTTGAACGTAAAGATGATCGACGATTTTTTTTTTTTTGCTGACATCCTAAATCAATAAGACATTCAGTATAATACTGACGCGTCCGTTGACAATGGTTTTCCTTGGGGTGTCAATTTCAACTGTTACCCTCCAAAACAGGCACCATTTATATATTATCACATGTTAATGGAATTTGTGTCTCGCAGTTGATTCCTTACGCCAGAGCAAAATTTACGTAAGAACAATTCTTAAACGAGGAAATCTCTTGACAAACAAGTTGATACTAACAAACAAGGATACTAACAATCTCAACAATTTGCAAATTCTACGTTGATACAATAACCTTGTAAGTAAGTACAATCCAGCATTAAGGAGGCTGGATGTTGACTAATAAACCATCATTTATTATTTTTAGATTTTAAATCTTTAGCTGTCAAATATTATTTGACAAAGAAAAATTTCATTTATTATAGTTTGAAATTTCAAAATTTTTGCATCAATATATCTCTAAATGGAGCTCTTCTTCTAAAGGAGATCAATATAGTCTAAAAATGGCCACAGCCATCCAGTCCTCTTAAGTCGAATGCTGACTCACGTTCTCCAAACAAATATTTAACAGATTTTTTCTGTTTTCCTGATCATATATACCAAGGAGCACACGGCAGGTGTGACAGGTTGACTGGGGATGCTTACTCCTCCTAAGCACCTGATCGCTGTTTATGTTTCTACAGGTCCGTATTTGCTCTGCTCCCGGTTTGTATTATTTCATTATGAGCTTGATTGCTTTGTTTTACGTCACTTGAAGCGTCACAAAGATTAAAATCATTTGATCAGTCTTGTTATGAATTCTATGAGCTCCGAATTTAATATTCTATCCAAATTACTTGCAAACATGGAGATCTAACATTGTTATAAACCGTACTCACAACTAAATACCCCTCTCATAAACAAATACAATCCTATTCGATGAATAAATGAACTACTACTTACATGAAATATTTAACTGGCATAAACCTTTGCTACTTGTAAGTCATGGTTTTGAAACTCATTTACCGGTTACTCTTACCAGTAATTAGCAAAATTATTAAAGATATATAGTTCAATGTGTTTTATTTTCTGTACTTCTTGGTATTTACAGAGCACGATGTTGACGCGTCATGAGATGCACAGTTTTCAATTTAATAACAGTTTACTATAAATAGTTTAGATTTTTTAATTTATTGTCTTTAATTTCCTGATCCTGCATTGATTCTGACAGAAATTACACCAATCAACGGTTACTGACTATAAACTTAATTGTATTCTGACAGCTGCATGAGCGACAATTTAGTCGGGAGAGGGGGCTTCAATCTTACTTGTGTGTTGTTCAAGATGTTTCTTCAGTCCAGAGGAGTCATAGAACTGTCTGTTACAAATACCACAGCTGATCTTCAGACCGTCCTTGTGAAGCTGCATGTGTCTCTGAAGTCCACTATCAAACCGGAATGGTTTCTTACATACAGAACATTCGTAGTGTTTCACAGACTTCTCGAAATGTGTCAGGTCGTGGCGTCGTAAGTGAGCTTTGTCGTAAAATCGCTTTTCACACTTGTCACATTTGTACCTCAGTATCTGGTCTCCGTCCTTCTTCTGATGCACGTTTGCTTTGTGTTTATTGAGATTACCAAGCTGGGAGCACCTGAACGGACACAGATCACATGCATGAGGACGCTCTCCCGTGTGTGAGCGCATGTGTCGTTCCAATATCCGAGGCTCGAACTTTTTTATACAAACAGAACATTCTTTAAGCAAAATTTCTTTCCTCTTTTGAGTATTGTCGACTTGCTGGCTGCTGATCACACTTTTCACTATCGATGTTTCCTTTTCTTTCGATCCTTCTGTCTCAGGTTTTCCGGAACACGGTTTCTTAGATTTTGAAGATGGCGACTTTTTATATTTAGCACTTATAAATTCGGTAACTTTTTCGTAAGATAGGTGCGACAAATGTTTTTTGTGAATATGATGATAAAGATTTTTCTTATAATTAAATGTCTTCCTACAAAAAGAACATGTCGACAAATTGTCGCCTGTGTGAATGTTTGAATGCTTAAGTAGACCGTTCGTATTTTTAAATTGCTTAAAACACACTTCGCATTTGTTTTCTTTGTGAGTCCTTTTATGAGTTTGATAATCTGAAAACGATTTATATGATATCCCACATTTTTCACAGAAATAGCGAGATAGTTCGGAACTACACCGTCTGTATGTCGCGGAAGTCGGGAGCTCGCGCGCGGCGCGCCTTTTTGAATTGACAGAACGACTTATCTCCCTTGGCATATAGGTGACGTACTGACTAATGAGATCATCGTCATCAGACGAACACTCTTCATCAGTAGCGCCACCTGTAGCCCGTGGGCTTTTGTCTACGTCATTTCTATTTGACCCGGAAGTGACGTTCGATTGCTTTGTTTTCATTCCTTCCCATTCATCACCCTCGAGTGGTTCGAATTCGGTCTCCGTCTCATTTCCGTCGTCAACACCCTCCATTTTGTCACGGTGAACAATAGAACCGGCTAACTGCACTTGTTCAGTATTATCTTTTTTACAGTCTCCACTCACAGGAAGTTTATCAATACTACCATTGCTTCCATGGTTATCACAATTTTTCATGTTTTCAAGTGCACACTCTGTGCGAATACGATAATCGTTCTCTCCATTAATATTTGTAATTTCGACATTATTAATGTCAGTTAAGTTTTCATTCATAACAGGGGATTGACATCGAGAATCGTCAGAATCTAGAATATACTCGTACTCACACTCTCCGACATCGTCACACTGACCAACATCGCCAATATCACATGTGGGATTCACGACGCCATCAACAGGATCGATAACCAATTCAAACGGTTTAGTTTCTATTACAACTTCAGCTTCATTATTCGTATTTGTATACCCATCTCCATGAATAATACATCCATCATTCTGTATGACTCTCTGTTCCACCACTTCGTTTTCATTTTTAATGAAATTTAAATTAGATGATTTCCAAGCTCCCGGATGACTTTGACACACTTGTATCGGTGGAAAGCCACACATACTGTCCGTATCACTTCCTCCCTCGCCGGAATCCTTGTATCTGTCCGTCACCGGGCACTTGTCGACGGTCACAGGATTTTTCTCCGTGAACAGGTCTTGTTCCTGTTTTAGAAATTTAGGTAAGGTTTCTGAATTTCCTTTGACCGCCAATTTGAACACGAACTTCCCTTTTCGTATTTCTAGACGCGTGGTGTCGCTGTCGTCCAACATGGCGTCACTGGTTTGACGTAACTGAAAGAGAACCAATTGTAAAGACATTAGTTCTAATTAAGATTTCTTTTTTCCTTCAAAATTTATATGTATTAACCACGTAGAAGATCCAATTACAGCGCATATTGATATTATTTCTTTCTCCCAGTAAAACTTTTTTTTCCCACTGCATCAGCTAATAATATATCCATTTTTCTGTTTTCATCAAGAATCACATGCAATCTGGAGTACTGTATGAAGTTCACTGGCCTTTATACACGGACTTACTCATCTACTTATCTCCTATTGTACAGAGATAAGATCTGTACTTAAATACAATAGCAGATAACCCCGTTTTATTGACAATCCCCTCTATATAAATCCATCGCATATGCAGCAGAACATTTAGTCGGAAGATTCTGAATGTTGCCAAGAGAAGGAGAATAATTAGAGAAGGAATGCGTTCTCCACGGCGCCTCTCTATCACTGAACCAGTATCCAAACTGCCAACGTATCACAAAATAATAAATGTGCGAAGCTCGCAAAAACTGAAATACGAAAGTCAATATTGGACGTTATCACTGTTCCTTGGGGGAAAAAAATAAAACATCATCCCCTTATCACTTGAACAGAATCCAACGGTGCCAAGTTCATGATAAAAGTTACAGTCAGTCAGCAGTTTTCCAGATTAATTTTTTTTTAATTCAGTTTTTTTGTAATTATCCATTATGTAGATATTTTTTTAAAAGAGTTTATCAGTAATACTAGAGCAGCACGGAAACCTTGCCTCTCAAAGGTCTCACCTAAATTGATACTGACCCGGACATTATTCAATGGGAACCTCCAAGATATCGTAAAACTACGCAATAGGACGCTAAGCGTTACTCAATAACCACACATTTCCCGGAACAAGTATATAATTATATAAAAGCTGGTTTCGAATTTGTTCACATAACTAGGATACTGTTACCTGAGTTGACATAAGAAGCAACTCTATGATGAAAATGAGAATATTTATTTTAACGTTATTTTCGGCAATACGCGTGTGAAGTTTTTAATTTTAAGGTGGTGATTGGCTTTGAAATGTTTTTAATGAAAAAGAATTCCTACAGAAAATATTTATTCTCATCAATTTCGACAACACGCCAATATACAATTATGTATTATTACATGACCAAGTTTGATTTTTTTTTTTTTAAATAGTATCAGTGAGTGGGTACCAGTACTGATTAACTAATCGTTTATTTTGGTGGCTTTTTGTTGAAATTGTGCATAGTGTAGATTAAAGGGATCACCAAAACATTGGCTTAGAAGAGAAAATTGCAGTTTTCCGCATCTTTTCTTCACATTATTCACTTTACTCTGCAATGTCTCTTGTTCACTTTAAATCAACAATATAAGCACGTGTCTAACTCACCACAAGCTAACATGAAAAATATGAACGATCCTAAGAATAACTTTATATTGTTAATCAAAGGTATCAGGGGGGAAAATAAGCAAACAAAATGACGCACGAATGCAGAAACAATCTACATGTGAAAAAAAGAATCCATCAATTCAAAGGCATTTTTATACCCCATTAAACAGAAGTTCTGTGTTGTTTAATAATTCCCAAAGGTTCGGAGAATAAAAGATCTTACCATGTAGCGACGCAATCCATCCAGTTGCAATCAGCAGATAAATTAACGAATCATTATTAATATTTCATGCCCCTCATTATAACGTTAAAATTTTCATTTGAATTTGTACTACACCTTGATTCTTCGGAGACAATAATGATTTAATTTCCTCTTCTCTGAGTTACGCTATTTTTTCTTCTACCCCGAGGGCGGTGTTTATAAATAGAGAATTCCTCATGGGATTAACAGCGTGACACCAATTACCAGGTGCCCGTAGCCTGGGGCGATTACTTATAACTGAAAGTCTAACTCTTTTGTCACCGGCCCATTGTTACCCTGTTTGTGGATTATAAAATTCAAACACCAAGCACTTGGTAACTAACGAAGTGTCCTCTTTTTATTTTCTTTGGTTGTTTAGACAAAGAATGGTTCCCGACTGGCCAAATTGATTGCACACTACATCTATCCTCCGTGTGTGCGAGTCATTGTGAAACAGTGTTAAATATAAAATAAATATCCTACAAAGGCTGGTGAATTTTCTTGGATCTCTGCCAAACCAAAAATAATGGCTTCCTCGTCCACTGCCATTTTCTTGTATTAAATACCCCTTGACCACTGGTCACGCTTTTCAAAAACAATTTTCTTTTGATAGATAATAGAGAATAACCACTGATAACAGAATAGTAAAAATCTTGGAATTGATATTCAGGTTTCAATTAATCGCAGGAAAAGAAACATTTAAAACCACACTCACCTTCCACAGAAAATACGCAGATCTTAGCGTCCGTGTTTCTCCACCATCTCTGCCAGAGCTATAAATAGCACACGGCACGGTCTGAGTCATGTCATTGTGGTGCTAGGAATTTCAGGCCAAGGAAAACTAATTTCGCGGTTAACTTTTTCTTTATACGTGTGCGTGTGATTTCAGCATTAACCAACGTTCAGACAAAGGACACTTAAGTGAATTAATTGTGAAAGGTGTGAATGGACATTTTAGGTGAATAGTTTTAAGGCATAGTAGTGAATTAAAAAACTTCTATCGACAATTTTGATTAGCGGAATTTTTCACAAGTTTATTAATTCTTTTTAAAGAGTCAATGAAAAAAAAGCAAATATTTCTTTAATTAAAGAGTCAATAAAAAAAGCAAATATTGATCTTTTAATTACAAATTAGCTGAATTAGTCAGGTACATATATATACATATTTCCAATAATTATGGACGAGCATAAAATTACAGGAGGACAGACAGTGTCAAAAATTTAGCTAAAAAATATACACACTTTTCTTAAGAATGCTGGATCAGAACTTGTCATCAGATTACAGATTTTATAATATTTGGATGTACATAGTATTTCTGCAACAAAAAAATCTTTTTCGAATATCACAAAATAGATTACATTCTAGTAAGTAATGAAATTCGTCTCCTATTTGATTATTTTTATATAAATTGCACACTCTTTCATTTCTTTCAAAATTATTCCATCTACGTGTACCCACCTCTATTGGAAGACGATTGTTACTTGTTCTGAATTTTCAAAAGACATTTCTTAATTTTCTTGGTAAAATATTTAAGTATTTTTCACATTAAAACTTTGTTTTAAAAATTCTATATATGTAATACCTTTACTGGAATTATTCATATCAAGTATTATAAATACCATTTTTGCAAAAACTGGTCTTTGAGCTTTTGGTTTATTGCCGTTGTGATCCATTTAACACTATGAAAATTTTGATTATTCCAAACAATATACTCATGCAGGGAATTGTACGAGAAGAATCTAGAATTGGTGGCTTATTTTTTTTCTTAGAGATTTTCTATATTCAAACAATATAAAGCACTTATTCGAACTGAGAGTTCTTCACTATTCTCATTAACCCCCCCCCCACTTTTATCTCCCTGTTAATTAGCATTCCCTTTGGAATTCCGTTAAAATGTCCCACACATGTTTTGAAATGTCAATTTTAACATAATGACACGCCAATCTTTAATTGCCAAACGAGAAAGAAATATTCGTCGTAATGTTCCTCACCTACTGACAAGTAATTTTTCACTGAAATGGAAATTTAAAAAAATGAAGAGAGAGTTGTAGAATTTCCCGTTTGAAAAACAAATTGCAACTATCTTTAGAACGTTGATTGTCATACAATGACACGCCCATTTCTTTAGAAAGGAAAAACACATGTTTCGGTGGAATACCTGTTCTGAACAGGTATTCTAATAAATATAATATTCAAATTGACGGCTATTATAACACAAAACCTGTTCTACATGTGTTATGGAAACTCCAATAAACATGATAAATTCATAACTACAGTGTATGTACAAATTCGTTGCAATACGTGTTTTATAGAAGCTGGAACTCTCTAAATCTCTCTTATAACTTAAAAAATTTCCATTTCAGTGAAAATTTGTTGCTTTTCGCAAAGAGTGGGGTGTCCTAAAACATTACGACGAATATTTCTAGTACTTTTCTAAAGAAATGGGCGTGTTATTCTGTAATAATTGACGTTCAAAGCATGACTCAGAACGTTTTATCCAAACGGAAAATTTTACTACTTCAATGCGCTTCATTGTACAATACCATTACATGTTCCTAGACAAAAAATCAACATGTGTTACCAGGGGTTTTGAAAAGATATAAAATTGTGAAAAATTTTGCAATATTCAGAGAAAAATACACAAAAATAACAAAACATAAATTCCAGATTTTTTTTTTCATCAAAAATTGTTTTAGAAGAAGTGTACAAATCCATATACAGTGGACCTTCAGATATCCGGACCCAAGATATCCGGATGCTTCAGTATCCGGACGATTTTTCATCGGGACAGAACATCAAAAATTTTTAAATGTTATATTGTTTTGTTTAACTGGTGATTCAGGTATCAGCAATAACGCTTCACATATCTGGACAAAATTAAAATAAAAGAACCAAAGGTCCGGATCAATGAAAGGCTCCATAACATTGTACATATAAAAAAATTAAAAGTATTGCACACGGGTCCTTCATTTAGTGGAACTCTTCAACTCCAGGGAAGAACCCAATAAAGTTTAAACTACATTGCGTATGACCAACTTAAAATGAAGCCACCAAACACGCTGCGTGGGCAAAAAAAATTCATAATTTTTCCTCCACCAAATACATTTTCGCTACGATCTCAACATGTCGGCACAAAATTAGCCACAGGCTCAGCTCTGATTTGTTGGCATAGTCAACCGAGGATTGTCGATAAGTTGATATATTCTTAAGGAGGCTCATTACACCACTTTTTGATGACGTACTACACAAAAAAATAAACCTCCATTGTAAAAGAACGACCGTTTTCCTTAGAACGGTGCAAAATGTTGTAAAGGCAATATTCACATTAAATATGTCGTGTGTGACCCTGACCTTTAAAACGCTTTAAAAATAGATGAAACATACGGTGTTAGTGAAAACAAAGTAACAGATCCATTATGCATAGACCAAGAAGGATTGCTTTTAAGCAGAAACAAAAGAAAACAACAGCCAAATCTTCGCCAAACAAGTTTGTGTAATTTCATAGCGATGCATGCAGTGAGCTCTATGATCTATCAATGACATGTTTGTACGAAGGAAATTCTAGTTAAAATCTACAACCTTGTTGAAATTAAAAAAGTTATTTACTTGCACTATTTACTGTGTTTGGTGTTAATTTATATATTTGCTTTATTGATTTAAACATATACTCTAGGCAATTTAAAGCTTTGTTCTGAATTGTAGATGTAATGTCAAACGTTCCATAGTGTTTTGAGTCTTGGCTAATTAGGAAAGATAACTCTTGAAAGTGTAAAGGAAAACTTTTTATACCAAATATTTTTTAAATTGGAATTTTCATTTAATTTTTAAACATTCTTCATTCAATTTGTCACATGTAATTCATTGAAATACATTCCTTGTCTCTTCAGAACTCATTTTCTTAATGTTTTGTGCACAGATTAAAAAGATAATGACATTAACCGTTTTTTAGGAGAAAATTATTTTTTCTAATAAAATTAAAATTAGGTATTATGAGGTATTTTCACTGTGTGTACCTGTCTTAAGAAGATACCCATCATTTGACACTGAAAGTTCTGAAATTCTGGTAATAATAAACTTGAAATAAAACATTTCACTAAAATTAGACAAAAGCTAAAAAATTCTCTAAAAAATATTTATGATATCAATACCTCGTTCTGGATATTTGACATCTACATTATAAGTGGTGCTGTAATGAAATCTAAAATAAACTGTGGATGTAATGAGCCACCTTAAAAGAAAAATGGATACCAAACAGAGAAAAAAATAAACTAGGAATGGCCTTACTACTTACTTACATACAAATAAAAATCAAACTGAGGCTTTACAGTGTCAGATAAGACAACCCAGGAGAAATATTTATTATTTCGATGGAGTGTTTCTAATAGTAAAATATACAAATAAACACGCCGTCGACTCGTTACAGAGTAATTATCAATTTTATCTTCCTCTGACGTTTCAAACACCACTAGTTATTATCTGCGATAAGAATGTTATATTTATTTTTAGAAATATTCAAAGTTGATCTAGCTTTCTTAAAACCGTAAACAGCGATTTGTATGATTCTCATATTTATGTTGACTAGCGCTTGATTAAGTAAAAGAAGCCTTCAGTGATTGAACGTATAGTTTTAAAAAAAAGAATACTTTTCGCAAAGACATTAAAGAATAAGATGCCTTTTTACGCCTTGGAGGACGAAATTTCGTTTATTCAATCAGATGACGGAGAAATGTTGAGCCTCCCACCAGACATAAAACAAGTAATGGTAAGATTTATTACCCCCCGACTCCACCCCATCACTAAACGAGATATAGCCCTAAGCAATTCCATTAGATTTCTTAGTGATTTACTAGCGTATTAAACATGGTCTATAGATACATGTGTTACATAAAATAGACAGAATGGGTCATTAAATATAGATTGCATATAAGTATAACCCCGCATACAAGTACTTTTATATATATCCAACAGCATGATTGACATTTAGGGCCCAGTACCAAACTGATCGTTTTTCTCTTTACTCTAACTTTTCTTTTGTTTTTTCTTTTTAAAATTAAATACTGAATTTTACATTCGTTTGTCCATACAAAAATAAAAAGACTACCCAGAAGGGGTGGAAAGGGCATCAAGCAGCTTCAAGATGACAGTTTATAGGTACATAATAAAGCTACAATTCAGATCAGACAATTATGATTTTTTTTTTTTAAATAAATATTCTTAATTTGCTAATATTATTTGATAAACCATGTATGAAATCATCTTGATATACAACAATAAAAATATTCATCTCTTAGTGTAAAATAGATGTAGGAATTATATCTTTGGCCTCCGTTTTTTTTTTTTTTTTTTGTCCGAATGTGAAGGGAAAATAATTTGACCTTGATCTGACCTTCCTAGTTTCATAAATATGTTAATTTCATTAATATTTAAATACAATAACTATGAGAAGAATCCCCAATCAAATTAATTATAAAGACTAAAAATTCTTGAAAAAGGGGGATTCGATTTTTTTCTTCATTTGACATAATGTATATTTACAATTGCAGATAACAAGTACATAATACTTAGTATATGTAATATATGAACTATATAAGTCAAACACATCAATCATTATAATCTTATAAAAGAATGAACAAACCAGTCAACAACAAATGGCCATCAATCGTGAAGACCGTGCAGGAGAGGGCGAGATTACCGTGCACTCGGACAGCGGTCATTTTGTTCTGGCCCCGTATATCATATACAATGTTACAGACCTCCCGACCCATAAAACGTCACAAAAATTCATTAACTTGATTCATTAGAGT